ACCAATGCCCAGATGAAGGCAGACGTGGAGTTTTTCGATGAGACCAAGGCTTCACAGCGACAGCAATGTTATTGCACTGGGGAGGGCTGAAGCGCAGAGCTCTTTGGACAGGCGAGTCTCATATGGCGGAGAATTTCTCCGAACAGTGCTTGCACTTTGGGGTTTTCATTTGTTCGCCGAACAGTGCTTGCACTGAGGGGCCCTTATTTCTTTTCCAAGGAACTGGGCCTGCGGGCCAGTCTGGCGGCTCCGTGCTCGCCGTCTCCGCCCCGTCGCCGCCTCGTCGCCGCCCGTCGTCTGGGCCTGCGGGCCAGTCTGGCGGCTGTATGTTCGCCGTCGCCGCCCGTCGCTGCCTCATCGTCGCCCGTCGTCTGGGCCTGCATGCCGGTCTGGCGGCTCCGTGCTCGCCGTCGCCGCACCGTCGCAGCCTCGTCGTTGCATCGCTTTGCATTGCGTTGCTCTGCACTGATTTTCGTTGCATTTCGTTGCTTTGGACTTTTGCGTGGCACAACATATTGCACAATATATCTTCCACATCATATATATATGTATGTATGTATATATGTATATGTATATATATACATAGATGTGCACACATACAGATGTGGCCCACAATCGATTGCACAACAAATATTGTACACTATAAATTGCACACAGCATATTGTACAACATAAATGGCACAACGCAGATGGTATCGCATAGACTGCACCACATATATTGCACAACATCGATTGCACAACATATATTGCACAGCATAGGTTGCATACCATATGTTGCAATATGTTTAGGAGTATTGCTTCACAGAGAATGCACACACTATATATTGTATCACATCGGTTGCATTGCATAGACAGCACCATGTAGATAACAACGTTCTGTACACCATAGACTGCACAACATGTATTGCACCGCACAGATTGAGCGGCATATATTGCTCCACATAGAGTGCATACCTGTATATGTATATGTATTTGCATATATATATATATATATATATATATATATATATCGCGCCACATATATATATACATATGTATGTATATATATACATAGACATACATTTATATAGATATTGCACCACATATATTGCAGAACCTATCTTGCACAACATATATAGCACCACGTATATTACACAACGTAGATCGCCTCGCATGTATTGCGGCACAGCGATTGCGCAATACAGATTGTACCATAATATCGTGCTCCACATAGATTACACATACTATGTTGCACATCATAAAAAGCAACATACTGTTGTTGCACCATATCGCCGCACCCGCGGCTGGCCCCAGAGCAGCAGCGCGCGCCACAGCGCCGGCGGCCGCGGCGGCCTTGCCGCGGCCGGCCGCCGCCACGGCCGCGGCGGGCCGCCGCGGCGGCGGTGGCCGCGGCGGCGGCGCCGCCAGCCACGCCGAGGCAGCCAGGGGCCGCGCCGGGCCACGGCGGCAAAGAGGCCGGGCTGGGGCGGCCGCGGCGGCGCGCGCAGCTGGCGGCGGAACGCCGCTGCCGCCGCTGCCGCCGCCGCCGCGCCGAGCGCGACTCCATGGCCGAGCGAGCGGGGGCGCGGAGGCTCGGGTGAACCCCTCGCGCGCCCCCGCGAGCGGGGAGGCCGAGGACCGAGGGGCAGGTCCCCAGCCACGGCCGGCCAGCCGCCGAGGCCAGTTCGAGCCAGAGCGGCTTGCTTGAGCCAGAGGCTACGGATCTACTGGGGAGACGCGCAGCGTCACGAATTCGAAGAACTGGGTCCCATCTAGTGGGGCCCAGCTTTCTGTCAGCATTTGTGTGGACGCGAAGCGTTGCTACGTAGCTTCCACCACCTAGCTTCCAGCATATTTTTCTCACCACATAACCTACACTACGTAGCTTCCACCACATGGCTATCACCATGTAGCCTTCACCACATAGCTTCCACCACATAGCTTTCTTCGCCAGAATGCGGGAACTCACTGTTTGTGGTCCCCGCTGTCAAGCACTTCTGCTCACTCTCTCTCTCTCTCTTTCTCTCTCTCTCTCTCTCTTTTTATTTGCCAACCATCCTGTGGTGTTGGGTCTTCGTTTTGAAAAGACTGTTCCCCGCGTCTCTCCTTCCTTCCTCCTTCCCCTCCTCCCTCCTCCCTCCTCCCTCCTCCCTCCTCCCCCTCCTCCCTCCTCCCCCTCCTTGCCTTTGCTTTCGGTACACCTCACACGTTTCGTAGCCCCATAGGGAGCTCCACTGAAGGTCCCAGTGCGGGGGGGGCGCATGCGTCCGCCACACCCAGCACAGCGTTTCGTGGCCCCATAAGGAGCTCCACCGAAGGTCCCAGTGGAGGGGGGCGCATGCGTCCGCCACACCCAGCACAGCGTTTCATGGCCCCATAGGGAACTCCACCGAAGGTCCCAGTGGGGGGGGGGCGCATGCGTCCGCCACACCCAAGGGGGGGGTCGCATGCGTCCGCCACACCCAGCACAGCGTTTCGTGGCCCCATAGGGAGCTCCACCGAAGGTCCCAGTGGGGGGGGCGCACGCGTTCGCCACACCCTGTACGGCGTTTCGTGGCCCCATAGGGAGCTCCACCGAAGGTCCCAAAGGAGGGGGGCGCATGCGTCCGCCGCACCCAGCACAGCGTTCCGTGGCCCCATAGGGAGCTCCACCGAAGGCCCCAGTGGGGGGGGGCGCATGCGCCCGCCACACCCAGCACAGCGTTTCGTGGCCCCATAAGGAGCTCCACCGAAGGCCCCAATGGGGGGGGCGCATGCGTCCGCCACACCCAGCACGGCGTTTCGTGGCCCCATAGGGAGCTCCACCGAAGGTCCCAGTGGGGAGGGGGGGGCGCATGCGTCCGCCACACCCAGCACGGCGTTTCGTGGCCCCATAGGGAGCTCCACCGAAGGTCCCAATGGGGGGGGGGGGCGCATGCGTCCGCCACACCCAGCACGGCGTTCCGTGGCCCCATAGGGAGCTCCACCGAAGGCCCCAGTGGGGGGGGGGGGGCGCATGCGTCCGCCACACCCAGCACAGCGTTTCGCGCCCCCATACGGGGCTCACCCGAATGCGATACCCACAACTGCATATGGTTGGGTCGTTCGCCGGGTTAATTTTTTGCTGGTCCCTGAGGCTGTCTGCACGACCAAGTCCGACGACTGGAAAGCCCGGGGCGTTGCTCGGGAGCAGGAGTTGGAGGGCGTGACCAGGGCCATCCAGATGCTCAGTTCCGACGACGCCCGCGAATTGTTTGCGCGGGCCATCAAACCAGGAAAGGAGACTGGGGCTTCGGATACCTTCGACACTGGCGTCGACATATCCTACGCGGCACCGTCGCTGGTGCACGGGGGACTAAGGGTGTCCGCGGTTCGGTCGGTTCGGCTTCGTCGCGGTCGGTTGCGTTCGCTTGCTTTGGTTCTGTTCAGTCGGCTGTCGTGTCGTTGCCGCGCTGCTGCGCCCTTCCAGGCCGCCTGCGGCCGAGTTTCGGTCGGTTTCGACCACACTGTCTGTCCGTTATGTCTTCGGCTGTCATGTTGCCGTGGCTAGTCTTGGGAGAAAGGCTGGAGCCGTCGAACTGGTCATCCGCCCTATCTCGGCGTTGTCCCAATACGCTAATAGTATATGTGCGTCGCCCCCCCCCCAGGGGCGACGCGCGCGCCGAGAGGTCTTATAGTTCATGCCCCGCGGCGGGCGCTTTCTGGCCGTACTGCTCGGGAAACGATATATGCTACGAGATTCTTGTGCAGGATGTTCGGGTCGGACGCACGCCTCCGAGGAGGACATATCGTATTAGTATGTCCTTTTGCTACCCATGTCGGTTTGTTCGCTGGCTTCGCCGAACTGCCGAGCTCGTGGGAGCCCTGGGTGCCTCTGTTCTGGGGGAGCGCTGTCGTGAAAGCGTCTTGGAGCCGTGCGTCCATCCGGACAACTCGGCATCGTGCTCAAAAGGGTCGAGGAGGAGGAGGAAGAGGAGGAGGAGCAGGAGGAGGAGGAGGAGGAGCAGGACAGGGAAGAGGACAGGGATGAGGAATGGGAGGAGGAAAGGGATGAGGAAAGGGAGGAGGAAAGGGAGGAGGAGGAGGGAGGAGGAGGAAAGGGAGGAGGAATGGGAGGAGGAAAGGGAGGAGGAAAGCGAGGAGGAAAGGAGGAGGAGAGAAGGGGGAGGAGGAAAGGATAGAAGGAGGAGGAGGAGGAGGAGGAGGAGGAGGAGGAGGAGGATGAGGATCAGGATGATGATGGTGATGATGATGATGCTGATGATGCTGATGATGATGATGATGATGCTGATGATGATGATGATGATGATGATGATGATGATGATGATGATGATGATGATGATGATCATGATGATGATGAGGAACAGGAAAGGGAAAGGAAGGAGGAAAGGGAGGAGGAAAGGGAGGAGGAAAGGGAGGAGGAAGGCAGGAGGGAAGGGAGGAGGAGGGGGAGGAGGAAAACGGAGGTGGAAAGGGAGGAGGAAAGGGAGGAGGAAAGGGTTGAGGACAGGGAGGAGGAAAGGCATGAGGAAGGGGCGGAGGAAAGGGAGGAGGAGAAGGAATGGGAGGAGGAACGGGAGGAGGAAATGGAGGAGGAAAGGGAGGAGGAAAGGGAGGAGGAAAGGGAGGAGGACAAGGGGAGGAGGAAAGGAGGAGGAAACGGGAGGAGGAGGGGAGAAGGAGGATCAGGAGGATGGGGGAGGGAGGAGAAGGAGCAGAGGGGAGGAGTGAGAGGAGGAGGAGGAGGAGGAGGAGGAGGAGGAGGAGGGAGGAAAGGGAGGAGGAGGGAGGAGGAGAGGAGGACCGCGGATGATGATGATGATGATGATGATGATGAGGGAGGAGGAGGAGGAGGAGGAGGAGGAGGAGGAGGAGGAGAAGCAGGAAAGGGAGGATGAAAGGGAGGAGGACAGGGAGGAGGAAAGGGATGAGGAAATGGAGGAGGAACGAGAGGGGGAAAGGGAGGAGGAAAAGGAGGAGCAACGGGATGAGGAAAGGGAGGAGGAAAGGGAGGAGGAAAGGGAGGAGGAAAGGGAGGAGGAA